AAAGGGGGGGGGGGGGGAATGAGATTGTACATCACTAGGTCAAAACACACGATCAATGTATCACTTGAGATTAGGGACTAGAACAGAAGATCTCACACGGTAGCCTCGAATTCATCGGTGTTGCTGGCGGCGCCATTGGGGGTGTCGTCCTCCGATCGGAGCTGAGATGATACCCCGTCGATAGCGGAGTTGAGCTGAGCAATCTTTTCGGCTAATACCTTTCGTGTCTTCTACATATTATCATGAGGAGAGATATTAAAAAAAATAAAAAACTCGGCAAAAACCCGAGATCCAACAGATGTAAGTTATAATGATCATTGCTGCAGGGTGGACTCACCTCCAAAGCCTTTTCCTCGTCATATATGAATTTGGGCAATTTCCTCATGAGATCCTTCCGGTCTGCTCCAGCTAAAGCCTTGCTGATCTGCAAAATAATTAAAAAGAAACTATAATGACCTAAGAAAAAAACAAGAAACAGTGATTGTTTTGAGTTCCGGGGTAACATATCATGGAATCATATACTTTTTCAGAGTACAATGAATCCCCGTCTGCCGTATTCCCGATTATATCATCAGCAAGAGAATGTCAATGAAAACTGTAAATGTACACCCACTACAAATTTCATAGATAGACCTTAATATAGAAAAAAAAATGAACAGATGGAGAAAAACAACTTCAAGCTCAACGAATGTCATCGATTAAAACCATGTGAAACAACTTATCACCTCAGGAGCGAACACACATCCAAGTGCACCGACTATGAGTCCTCCCAAAATAAATCCTCCAACAAATAGGCCTGTGCTGCCTGGCCCTTCATCATTTCTGTCATTTCAAGTGGTATCGGAAATCAGGACAGATATAGAGACATGATGGGCACTCGCACATGTCAGGAACGTGGGAAATGAAGCCGCAGTTTAAATTGTTTATCGAAATGTAAACAATTTCTCATATTCTGAAAAAAAAATCATTTATCAAATCTCTAGAAAAAAAGAAAAGAAAAGAAAAGAAGGAACTCTATGCCTGTATACTGCCCGGACGGTAAGGGGCTTTCTGCTTCTGGAAGCAGAAAACTGCAGATTGTTGGAGCCATTCAATCCAATAGGAACATTGACTGAGGATGCACCTCCAAGGACTAGACTACGTTGCTTCAGAGGAAGGCCTAGAATGTATTTAGTGATAATAAGATATGATGCTTAAAAAGATGCTTCTAGTAAAAAAAATATTTACTTGACATACAAAAACCTGATTGGGAGCGAAACCGAAAACACATACTCACAATGAAACTATGAAAGGAAGGAATGCTTAGATTCACAATGGCAAGTAACAAAAGGCAGGGAACTTTCCCTTCTACTAACACGGAGTACCCACGAGATCTAAACTATGCTAACCATCGGAGAAAGATGCAGGTTCAAAGGAGGAGAATCAGAAACAAAAGCTTCATCAGCACTTGTTATGTAAATATGTAAATGTAATGTCTGTTCAAATCTAAAGCTGATTAGAAGGGGACTGCCATCATCTTTAACTAGAGATCCGAAACTAACCGAAAACAAGATATAGACGCTACATTACACAAGAGATTCATTATTCTTAGCCTTTATATTCACAACAGCAAACAGACGTATGTCAATGACATGTACCGGTGGTCCGGTGGGCCAAATCAAGTATTCTATCAGCCTTAAGCTACTTTCGCATGAATTTCTGGCGTTTGGAAGCTCAGTTTCTCTAGCTCGAAGAATCAAACGACAGAAGCTGTCGTAACACAAGAAATATCCATATCAAACCTCAATTAATGAACCTACTAAGCTTTCTCCTGCATCCTTCAATATCATAAAATTTACCAAAACTCTTGAACTATTTCAACATGCAATTGCGCTCAAATACCACAAAACCCCAAATGGAACATCGAGAGTTCTAGAAAGCAACAAGTTTCGTCAACTACAGAGAATCCAAACAAGAAGAAATCGAGATCTTTCAACAACCAGAAAAATGCGAAGATCGCAATAAAGATGGAGTCGGGACACATAAGGAGAGAGACAAAGAACTACCAGATGATGGATGAAGTTCAGAATTCTTCGACAGAACCAACGAGCCAGAAATGGCCGCCATTGATGGAAACGGGGCGAGAGAGACGAGCGAACGAAGAAGAAGAAACAGAGATTTTTTTTTTTTCCTCAGATCATCTGAGAGAGAACAAATATGCGGGTTCGATGATATCTAAGATTGGGAGCTTATTAGAGAGTCCGGTATAACTCGGTTTAGTTCGGTTAGGTCGTTTTACATCGTGTGGTTTGTACTTTGTATCCAAAAGTTGTTCATTTCATGAGTAATAGAAATTCTCTCTAAACCCCATCCACTACGATTGATTTTGTTCTTATTTTTTGCTTCTTGTTTGATTTTCACCCCAACACAATTTCTATTCGATCCGATTTAGATTTAGCTCCCATTATTAAAAAAAATGTTTGCTTTCTTGAGAATTTTCTTTTTTTATATATATTTGATTTGTTACAAATTTCTACATCCAACCTTTTTTTTAAAAATCAATTTCTATTCGATGTTTTGACACGTAAATACTTGCATATATAAATATAAAATATATACTATAATATGAGGGAAAAAAATTGTCTATATTTTAAAGCATATTATTATAAACAATCTAAAATGTTATATCATGTATTTATTTGTATAACAATTCACATATGAGTTTAAAGATGGATAGAAGTAAAACTGTTAAATCATCTAAACTCTTATCATTGGAATTGTTTTTCCTTTTAAATGGTAAAACTATATAAGCATTAAAAAGGAAAAAAAAATCATCATTATATATATCCGAATTTGCTAACTCAAAATAAACTAGTTAAATGATGAGATGTTATTAAAAGCTTCCATTTAAAACTTAAAACTGATTGATTAAATTACATGAACATACACAGATAAAAAATACAATGTTTAAGATAATTATTAATTTATTATATGTGAAATTCGAAGTTGATAACTGAAATAGTTTATTTAGTTCTTTTAATCATCACAACCAAGGGATAAGTCTTTGTGTATAACTTATCGCGAAGGGAAATTATCGTGTTCTTTATGGAATTATGAGTTTTTTTTTGGTAAATTGGAATTATGAATTTTTTTTTACCAGGCTAGTTACATATTAGGTGAACTCTTAAGTGGTAGAAAAAGGCAATTTAACTACTAGGAATCAAATAAAATTTTCCTATTTTCTTATTATAAATCGTTTGAAATGCGTAGTCATAATATTCTGGAAAGTTCTATGAGGATTCATGGATTTTTTTTATTATTATTTTTACATAAAAAAACTACCCGGCGGAATTAAGGGGACAGATAATATATATATATATTAACAACCCCAGTAGGTAGGATCTGGGTTTGTCGTGTTCCCTCTGAAGAGTGGAAGCGAATAAACAATGTCTCTGAAGAATATGTGGAAACTCTGTTTCCGGAGGAGACAAGACGCTTCTGTTGTAAGTTGTGTATCTCTGAGACTCAAACTCTCTGTGTTTCTGGTTTTAATTAAACTGCAATGGTTTCGTTTTCAGGCACGAGAGAGGAGGATTCGCACCTTGTCGTCTTCCTCGGGCCCTTACCTGTTACTTCCCATGGAGGTTATGGGCGGTGGCGAAGCCGTGAATATCAACTTATACGACCCGAGGATGGAAGAGAGTGTCAAGATCCGGAACCAGACACTGCCTCCTGAGCTGTTGCCTCCATCGACATTCGTAGGATCATCCCGTGGTTGGACGGCTTGTATGAACGACGAGGATTTCAGGATCCACCTTACCAACATGTTCAACCCCTCGGCCTCTGAAAATTCTCACCGAGTCGTATCCCTCCCTCCCTTCCCATGTTCCAGCCCGACCCGGATGATCAAGAACGTGTCTCTTTCGTCCTCTCCTGACCAAGACGACGAGGACTGTGTCGTGGCCGTCAAGTTCAGGGGAAACTACATCGTATTCTGCAGGCCCGGAGACTCGACGTGGACCGGATACGAGAGCCTCCACGAAAGTTTGTACGCCACTCTCGTCATGTATTCACGGAGAGACTCCTCTTTCTATCTGCCCGCTAACATTTTCCACCATACGAGTGCATTGGCCTGGAAGATGAACCGGACAGAGCTCCCGCCAGACACCCATGTCCTAAAACTAGGGCCTGTCCAGTTACCCGACAGCATGCCTGAGCGCGAGCGCGAGCTCTTGGGGCTGTGTTGTCAGACCAAACACTTGGTCGAGTCTCCCACCGGCGAGATTTTTGTCGTTGTTTGGTATCTCCAGTTCACCGATTCGAACCGGAATCCAGTCTCCTGGTTGGAACAGGAGAAAAACCCTGAGAAAGAGTATTGGGGCAGAACGAAGCGGTTCATCGTTTACAGACAAGAAGACACTACTCAGTGTTACACAGAAGACATAGGGGATCTCTGCATTTTCCTCGGTAAGAACGAGTCCTTCTGCATCCCGGCGAGCTCGTACCCTGGCCTCAAGCCTAATTCCGTGTACTACATGGACGGTTTCGTTCGTGTTTACCATCTCGCTACCGGGTCCATTCATCGACTCCCTCTCCAGGATCTTCATACGCCATTTTGGCTTGCCCCACTTCAGTGATAGAAAATTCTAACGCTCTCTAGTCTCTGACGGATTCTGTAGGGTTGGCTTAATCGGGTTTTGGTTCGGGTTCGGTTATTTCGGTTTTAGAAAAACTATAACCGTTTGGTTTTTATATTGAATTCAGTTCGGTATTCCGGTTTGGTTTTTTCGATTTTAGAAAAATCATAACCATTCAGTTTTTTACATCTAATTCGATTTGGTTATGGTTATGTATTATTCGGTTATTAACTAGATAAGTCACGCTAGTGTAGTTTATGCTGTTCAAAATCTTTAAGAATGATTTCTCCTACCGTTCGTTTAAATCCCCACAGCAAAATCGCAGCAACGTGGAGTCTTCGAACAGATTCCATCATCAAAAGAAAACGATTTTGCCTCTTTGTATTTGCCAGCTGAGAGTTGATACTTGATATGGACATAGAAAAATGGATCAAATGCTAAAATATGAAAAATAAATTTAATTTAGCAAAATTATAAAAGATCACCTCTAAATCTGTGTTGGTTTAATAATCACATAACAAAAAAAGAGAGAGTTGTTAATCGGATCTATTGGACGAGTCGAGACAAAGCAAAAACAATTTTTTAACAAAAAAACGTATTTTTTTATTTCGCAAAAATTTTAAGGATTCGGTTTTTATGTAATTATTTGTTTTATTTAGATTCCACCTAAGTTTGCCTTGAATTTAAATTTTATTAAAGAATTATTCATATACTGAAAATTATCATTTTCGTTCGATTCTTTGTTATTTTTATATTCTATTTAAATTTATTTAAAGTTCCAGTTTTTTTTTAATATCTAATTAATTTTACAATCAAACTCGTTTTACATGTAGTATAATAATTATGTGTTAGGAGAACCATGATGCGATCTCTAATTTGTATGTTATATTTATATTGTTGAGTAATCCCAGCGAACCGGACATGATTCACGTTAACCGGACAAACCGGTCTATATTAACTGGGTCGTTGGGCCCCACAGATTCCCCCGCATACTTCGCACGTGCTCTTTTGTCAAAGAAACCAAATCCATTGTTAAATTAAATTAAAGAAACAAATAAGCGTAGAAGAAACCTCTTTTTTTTTTCCTTTTTGTTTTCGCGAGAGAGATTTTTCAAACGAATTCGACTACGACGGAGGAGAAGCTTTTCTTCGAAGATTGAGAGACGCTTGAGATTGATACAGAGGAGACAGAGGGATATATGTATCCCTATAGATAGAGAGAGAGAAGGTGAAACGGGGGAATTGTGTTGCTCTTCTTGGCGTGTGTCGGACGAGCTGAGTCGCCAGAGCTAGGGTTTCGTTTTCGTTTTCGTTTCGTCAGGAGCTGGTGGAGGATGGTGAGATATTAATTTTGTTGCTCTTTTTCGGATTGGGGCTTAGCGTTTTCATAATTTTTCGAGGTTTCATGGATCGGTGTTTGTTCAGTCTTCCGTTTTTACTAGACTTTGCTTTTGTTCATGTGAATTGGGCATGGACATTTTGTTGAATGAATAGGTGTAATTGGGAATTCGGCCCTTAGATAATGAATTTCGCATGTGTTGGTTGTTGCACTACTCCGTAATTCTAGGGTTTGATCTCAGCTTCACGATTTGATTCGAAGTTTACAGGACTCAAGATAGGTACTAGTAACCAAAATTGGGGATTTTTCAATTATGTTATTCCTTTGAGCCGTCAAATTAGGTTTGGTCGCAACACTGGCCATATTGTATCTGGTAACTTCCCGAGCATTGAATCTATTTAGTTCGGTGTATATACCGTACTCGTATCATTAGATTTTGTTTTTCATGGTATTCTAGCAATACCAATGCCCTGCATGTGTTGTATTTTGCTCAGGTGGAGAATGAAATGAGATGTTTTTATGTATATCTGTTAGAATGTCCACCTTACCAATTGAATACGAACCAAAAGTGAGTAGCACAGCATAAGGAACTACAGGCTGAAAATTTCAGTTTCAAATTGATATTTAAGAGAACGACTTTGCAGCGTTTCTTATGCTTTATGTGGCAGCTTGCTAAGGCTAGAAAGTATGATATGTTTTGCAGGACTGGCTTTCTCGTGCGTTCCTGAGAGATAGTTGATGGGAAAAATTATCCCTTTGTCTCATAAAAGCGTCCTGCTAGCTTGGAGTTGTTATATGTGAAGCATTATGACGCTTGAGGATTTCTTTACTCTGACAGAGATAAAAGATGGACTCGCGGCCACTTCTCGTGTTGAAGAGCTTGTATCCGTTATGCAGAGGAGTAAAGATTCTGTTGTGAAGAATGCTGGTGACGCTTCTAGACAATGGGCTGCTGTTGCAAGCACAATTGCAGCCACAAAGAACAGAGAGTGTCTTGATGCGTTTATTGATTTAGATGGACTCTTTTACTTCAGCAGGTGGCTAATTGATGCCCAAAGATTGGGTAGTGATTCAACTGACAGCTCTGTAGAGGAGGCAATTCTTGCTTTGCTACAAGCTCTTGAAAATCTAGGTGTAGACTATCCGAATTTGATTTCTTCTGGGATATGGCATTCTGTCAGAAACCTTGATGACCATGGTAGTTCTCGGATTCAGGATATGGCCAGAAAGCTCTTTGATAGCTGGAAACAGGATAATGTACATGACCGTCCTGACTTCAACAAAGAAAGCATTCACAGATTGCACGAAGATGAGGCGAGAGTTATATCAGCTAGTGGGGAGAGTATTAGTGGCCAAATTCCTGATGCAAATCCTCTTTGTCCAAGAGAAAGTAATAATGAAAAACCTCCTCTGGGAGTAGTAGATGAAGCTGGAAGCTCGCTCTCAGAAGAAAATAAAGCAGATGAAGTTAAGGGTTTGGAACTTCAGACTGAATTAGTCGGTTCAAACTCAAATGTGATTTCTCACTGTTCCTATACCAAGGCTGAAGCTTCAGATGATACTCTTATCGGCGAGATCATGAATGCTGTTCAAGAAAGTCTTTCTGTAAAGGAAAATGACTCTACGAAGGATACAAGTGGTTCAATAGGTAGTACTCGTCTCCCCACTGGTACTAGTGGTCTCCGGCATCCGCAACATGGCAGTGTTGGAAGGCCGTCAGGCTCTCCAGCTTCTTCTGAGATATCTAAGGATGACAGCCAAATTGGCGAGCATGAACCTTCTGCTGAAAATTTGGGTGCAGAAGTAGTAGCTGCGGCCTCTAGTTTAGTAGAACCGGTACCTATGTCTATTGATACTGCAGTGGCAAGTCCAGAGGAAACCAAGAAAGAACCTCTTTCTGAAGAGGCGAGCAAGAACTCTTCCGGGGCCTTGGAAGATATTGGTTTAGCGCATAATTGTAGCAAACAGGTGGCTCCAATGGATCATAAAAGTGATAAATACGATTCTGAAGCATTGTCAGGATTATCTGCTGACAAGAAAAGGAATCGAGAAGATGAGAGTTTCGGAGCGCCCATTCATGCTGTTGATGAAGCAAAAAAGGATGGCAAGGGCACTAACAACAAGAAAATAGTAAAACGTAGAAAAAGAAAATTTTCTAGATCGATGACAGTATCTCAGAGACTTGGTGCAATGGACAAGTCAACAGCTGAGATTGAACTCGGCATTGTGGATGCCTTGGACATAGCTGCGAAAGTTGCGCAGGAAGTAGCAAGGGAAGTAGATTCGAGAGAGCCATCTTGTGATTCATCGGAAGAAAGATCAAGAATAATAACGAGGGCAAACTTACGACATCGATTTGGAAGTCCGAGAGGACAGATTTTAACTGGAGAGAAACGAAATGTGGAGGGAGAAGATGGATATCTTGAACTCCGTGAGTGTTCTGGGCGGTAACTGCCGTGATGACAGAGGCACAATACACACCTCGTGCCGCACAAGCTTTGAGGTCAGCCTGGATTCCCGCCCCTGCACCCGAGTCCGACCCAGCCACCGTCAGCACCTGGGCCGCCGCCTTTCTACTCTCCATTGTCATCGTGCATCTCCAAGACATGACAAGCCCAATGGTTAATACAAAACAAACGAATGCTGTCATGTGAGACACAGAGGATGAAAGCCCTTGCTTTTGGAAGAATTTCATGAAAACGGGTTCCTTCTGGCGTCTTAAAATTTCTGAACTGGAAATACCCTTAAGATAATAAGTGCATATTGTGATTACATTATTGGGTCAACATTGAAAAGAGTACCTGAGAGAACAGAGATCCTTCCCCTGAGACAGTGAACCGATACAAGAGACCTTCATTCATGAATGTTCAGACCCAAAGCAATTGATATGCAAACTAATTTCACTGCATAATTGAATAGAACCAATGATCAGTAGAGTGTTCACTTCCCCTGACTTCTCTGAGTGTTCAGCCCAAACCACAGAATTTAGCCGCTTTCTTATAAAGCTTTTTCAGCGAATTTTTTAATATTTAATTGGATAAAGCAGAGAAATTCTTGCTGTAATAAAAATATGGAGAAATTTCACCACATTGAAGCAAATTTTCTTGGTGAAGACTCTCCGGAGCTTCGGCGGTCGACGATGGCGATAGCGACGACGGAGATGTAGCAGCAGCAGCAGGAGGAGGAGGACAAGAGATTCTGAGGAGTTCCTGATATGTTTGGTGGGGGCATATAACGTGACGTCATTGCTCTTTCTCCTGAAATGGGCTTTGTCTGGGCCCTTCGTGGGTCCTTTACAAGCCCATATATCACTCGGAAGTCTCGAGCCGTTGTAAAATTTGATCATGCCTCAAAACGGAACGGTTAAGAAGATACTTCAGGTGCCTATTTCAAATTCGGTCCGGTTTGGATCGGATTTGGAAGAATAGTTTCCCAAACTTTGAAGGAGGAAGCAGAGAGATTCTGAGTTTGACACAGTTCTTGTCTCGGGGACAAAGCGGGCCTACAGGGGAGCATGCGGGAGCAAGCTTCGAGTCCTCCTCGGGTTCTTCCATCGTCGGTGGGAAGAGGAAAGAACCCGAGATGGGATGGGAACCTTACACACTGAACTCCTCTAGACCTCAATATCCTCCATGGAGATGAAGAAGGTGAGTGATCCACAAACATGGAGATTGGTTCTTGAATAAAGATTCGTGGGATTGATTGCTAAAGGAAGATAAAAACAAACAAACATGCTCAGTTACTTTTAAATTGTTTCTAATCTTATTTTCGGGGATTTTTTTTCTCTCTCTCTCTTGTCATTCAAGGTCTTTTACCTGACTATGATTTCATATGTAGAAGTAAAGGTTCAACCATAGACGTATTGAACGCTTAAAGATTCTAGTACATGGTCTTCACACTGTCTTGTTTCTTGTTACGCACAGTTTTGTGTCAGATAATGTGTCCTGTAGCATGTTTAGCTGTGTTCTTCGGTCATGATTGTATGAACCCTCCCTCAGTGCCCGTTCCAATTAATTACTTATAATGAAAGGTTCAACCATATGTGGCAGGTGGTTTCGTGAATCCTTATAATGCTTTCCAATATTTCATGAGATTCTCATATACGCAGATTTACGAAATTTCTGACTACATTAACAATTAAAACTTCATCGATCCTGTTAGAACTTTCTAATATATTATAAAACCAGTTGGAAAGATTCACAAGGGAAACAGGGCGGGTGAAGAGCTCAAACCGCGATACAATGATTTGGGTGAATTGGTCGACGATATTAGAAACGAACCAGAGGTGCAAGAGTTTTTATGCATCGCTCCCCGTGAGATTCTAAGGGATGATACACCAACATAGGTTTGAATTATTCTTAAAGGCTTCGAGTGTCAACGATTTGACGAAAGGTCTTGAAGATCTAAAATATAAATATAGAGATGTCTATGAGTTCGATGGGGACTCGAGGGCCAAGCCCGAGCTCGTCCACGAAAGGAGGATGAAGAGGAAGTCGAGGAGGATGTGATATATTTTGTGTTTTATGCTTTGAATTTTTGTTGGAATCGATCGATAGGTGAGATCGTGATGAATAGTCCTTAAAAAACGACAATACTTTCCACAAAATAAAAAATGACATTTTTTATTACTCAAGTGGAGCAAGCCAAAATGGTGTATGAAGACCTTGGAGAGGGAGTCGATGAATGGATCAGATCGCGAAATGGTAAGCACGAACAAACCGTCCATATAGTATACGGAATTAGGCTTGATGTCAGGGTACAAGCACGTCTAGATGCAGAAGGACTTGTTCTTACTAAGGAAAATGCAGAGATCTCCTATGTCTTCTGTGTAACATTCAGTAGTGTTTTGTTTGTACACAATGAAACGTTTTTGTTAAGGTTGTTTTTGCAGGTAATTGAATTTATTAGTGTAGAAAATTCTGAAGAGATTCTTAGTGCAGATTTTGTGGAAAAGATAACTATCAAGAGTTTGAATATAATAGTTGACCAACAATCTTAGAGATAAAAGACAAATCATCAAAAAATAAATAAATAAAGATAATCTAAATAGATCTAGACGTGTGCATATAAAAGAAATATGGAAGAGGTTGAAAAAATATAGAATTTAAGAGAGAAAAATCGTAGAAGGAAAAATACAAAGGTCGGTGAGAGTTTAGGTTTTCTGTAAGTGAGATATATCTAAAGGATTCTGGACACGATTTGTGTGATGAATCGATAGAATTCATGTTGTATGGGCTAATATTAAGGGAGAATGTGGTGTATTCATTGGTATCTCAAAAGAAATAAGTTATAGTTGTGAAATTCCTACGAATAAATAGAATCGATTGAGTGATATATGAGTACGTAAGTTATTTCAGCTTCGTTCTGCCGAGGTTTTTCTCCAATTCCAACTAGGAGTCTGAATTCCGGTTCAAATTGGTGCACACCAAACAACGAGAAACATCTCGACCAAGTGTTTGGTCTGACAACACAGCCCCAAGAGCTCGCGCTCGCTTAGAATACATGACGAGAGTAAGGTGGATCCTGAAATCCTCATCGTCCATATAAATTGTCCAACCATACGAAAGTCGATGGAGGAGGCAGTATCTGGCTCCAGATCTTATCACTCTATTCCTTCCTCGGATCGTATAAGTTTATATTTACGATTCTACCCTCATAACCTCCAGGGAAAGTAACAGAGGAAAACGACAAGGAGCAAATCCTCCTCTCTAAAACCAACAACAGAGGGTTTGAGTCTCAGATAGACGAAGCGTCTCGCCAGAGTTATTTTGGGCCCATGGGCTGAACTGTAGTCCGTACAAATTTACCCGTTATGATCTAGTTCGTGAGCCCATTTATGTAAACTAAGACGTAAACACACGCATGTTGGGCCCCACAGATTCCCCCCGCATACTTCGCACGTGCTCTTTTGTCAAAGAAAAGGTATATTTACCAAATCGATTCACGTGCTTTGGAAAATTAAATTAAAGAAACAAATAGGCGTAGAAGAAACCTTTTTTTTTTTTTATCCTTTTTGTTTTCGGGAGAGAGCTTTTTCAAACGAATTCAGACTACGTCGTCGAAGACCTACGACGGAGGGGAAGCTTTTCTTCGCCGCTTCTGGAGATTGAGAGACGCTGGAGATTGATACAGAGGAGATAGAGAGATATATGTGTCCCTATAGATAGAGAGAGAAGGTGAAACGGGGGAATTTTGTTGCTCTTCTTGGCGTGTGTCGGATGAGCTGAGTCGCCAGAGCTAGGGTTTCGTTTTCGTTTCTTCAGGAGCTGGTGGAGGATGGTGAGATATTAATTTTCTTGCTCTTTTCGGATTGGGGCTTAGCGTTTTCATAATTTGTCGAGGTTTCATGGATCGGTGTTTGTTCAGTCTTCCGTTTTTACTAGACTTTGCTTTTGATTATGTGAATTGGGCATGGACATTTTGTTGAATGAATCGGTGTAATTTGGAATTCGGCCCTTAGATAATGATTTTCGCATGTGTTGGTCGTTGCACTACTCCGTAATTCTAGGGTTTGATCTCAGCTTCACGATTTGATTCGAAGTTTACAGGACTCAAGATAGGTACTAGTAACCGAAATTGGGGAATTTTCAGCTTTGGTCGCAGTGGCCATATTGTACCTGGTAGCTTCCTGAGAATTGAAGCTATTTAGTTCGGCGTATATGCCGTACTCGTATCATTAGATTTTGTTTTTCATGGTATTCTAGCAATATCAATGCCCTGCATGTGTTGTATTTGGCTGGGGTGGAAAATGAAATAAGATGTTTTTATGCATATCTGTTAGAATGTCCACCTTACCAATTGAATAGGAACCAAAAGTGAGTAGCACAACATGAGGAACTACAGACTGAAAATTTCAGTTTCAAATTGATATTTAAGAGAAGAACTTTGCAGTGTTTCTTGTGCTTTATGCGGCAGCTTGCTAAGGCTAAAAAGTATGATACGTTTTGCAGGATTGGCTTTCTCGTGCGTTCCTGAGAGATAATTGATGGGAAAATTTATCCTTTTGTCTCATAAAAGCATCCTGCTAGATTGGAGTTGTTATATGTGAAGCATTATGACGCTTGAGGATTTCTTTACTCTGACAGAGATAAAAGATGGACTCGCGACCACATCTCGTGTTGAAGAGCTTGTATCCGTTATGCAGAGGAGTAAAGATTCTGTTGTGAAGAATGCTGGTGACACTTCTAGACAATGGGCTGCTGTTGCAAGCGCAATTGCAGCCACAAAGAACAGAGAGTGTCTTAATGCGTTTATTGATTTAGATGGACTCTTTTACTTCAGCAGGTGGCTAATTGATGCCCAAAGATTGGGTAGTTATTCAACTGACAGCTCTGTAGAGGAGGCAATTCTTGCTTTGTTACAAGCTCTTGAAAATCTAGGTGTAGACTGTCCGAATTTGATTTCTTCTGGGATATGGCATTCTGTCAGAAACCTTGATGGCCATGGTAGTTCTCGGATTCAGGATATGGCCAGAAAGCTCTTTGATAGCTGGAAACAGGATAATGTACATGACCGTCCTGACTTCAACAAAGAAAGCATTCACAGATTGCACGAAGATGAGGCGAGAGTTATATCAGCTAGTGGGGAGAGTAGTAGTGGCCAAATTCCTGATGCAAATCCTCTTTGTCCAAGAGAAAGTAATAGTGAAAAGCCTCCTCTGGGAGTAGTAGATGAAGCTGGAAGCTCGCTGTCAGAAGAAAATAAACCAGATGAAGTTAAGGGTTTGGAACCTCAGACTGACTTAGTTGGTTCAAACTCAAATGTGATTTCTCACTGTTCCAATACCAAGGCTGAAGCTTCAGATGGTACTCTTATCGGCGAGATCATGAATGCTGTTCAAGAAAGTCTTTCTGTAAAGGAAAATGACTCTACGAAGGATACAAGTGGTTCAATAGGTAGTACTCGTCTCCCCACTGGTACTAGTGGTCTCCGGCATCCGCAGCATGGCAGTGTTGGAAGGCCACCAGGCTCTCCAGCCTCTTCTGAGATATCTAAAGATGACAGGCAATTTGGCGAGCATGAACCTTCTGCTGAAGATCTGGGTGCAGAAGTAGTAACTGCGGCCTCTAGTTTAGTAGAACCGGTACCTATGTCTATTGATACTGCAGTAGCAAATCCAGAGGAAACCAAGAAAGAACCTCTTTCTGAAGAGGCCAGTAAGAACTCTTCTGGGGCCTTGGAAGATGTTGGTTTTACGCATAATTGTAGCAAACAGGTGGCTCCAATGGATCATAAAAGTGATAAATACGATTCTGAAGCATTGTCAGGATTATCTGGTGACAAGAAAAGGAATCGAGAAGATGAGAGTTTCGGAGCGTCCATTCATGCTGTTGATGAAGCAAAAAAGGATCGCAAGGGCACTAACAGCAAGAAAATAGTAAAACGTAGAAAAAGAAAATTTTCTAGATCGATGACAGTATCTCAGAGACTTGGTGCAATGGACAAGTCAACAGCTGAGATTGAACTCGGCATTGTGGATGCCTTGGACATAGCTACGAAAGTTGCGCAGGAAGTAGCAAGGGAAGTAGATTCGAGAGAGCCATCTTGTGATTCATCGGAAGAGCTGTCAGATGAAAGAACACAATCTGATTCATCAAATTCCATAAACGATGACCAAGACATGCTAGGCACGGTGTCCCATTCGAAGGAAGCACCAGTTTTTGAAAAACATTCTGCTCAAGCACTTCAAGGTGGGAAGAACCACTTGATGGATCTGGAAGATGATATACCTGAAAATGGCATGAGTGGCAATAAAATTGAGCCTCGCCAATTCAGCACAGAGAGAAAGCCTTGTGAATTTGATCTCAATGAAGAAATCGTTCCTGATGAAACAGATGTTGCTGTGGCCTCTATGTCAACCCTTGCTCCTGTAGTGACTGTCTCACGTCCCGTAGCTGCTCCCGGGGTTCCGCCAGCAATGGTATCACAACTGGAAAGAACTGTTTGCTGGAAAGGATCTGCCGCTACCAGTGCATTTCGCCCAGCATCACCTCATAAACTTTCTGGTGGGGATTTAAGAGAGAAGCATGTTTGTCTTGGTATTGATCTGAATGTGGCCGAGGGAGAAGATGATAAGGTTGAAGACTCAACCCCTTGGAGACAGTTTCCTTTCTCAACAAATGCTAGGTCTACAGAGACTCTGGTGGAAGTAAAGCCCTCAGAATCAGGCAGGTTCAACCTGGATTTGAATTGCAGAAACGAGGAATATGACGCTCCCACACGTTCAGAACTGAGGATGGAGACAAGGCTGTTTCTAAATCGTAATGGCCACCAGAGCGTATCTCCTGCCTCCTGCTCATCATCCCAACAATCAGCCAAGAAATTGAACTTTGATTTGAACGACGGACCGCAGTTTCTCACTGATTCTTCGTATCAGGGACCTTACTATGGGCAACATCCACGTAGTACAATCCCCCATGAACCGGTCATTTCCATCTTGGGTGCCAAAGTGGAAGTCAGCAGAAAAGATTCTCTTTCATTCTTTCCCAAAGGAAAATCCATCGACCCGAAACTTGACCTAGACATAGCAAGAACCGGAAACTCTCTGGGTTTAGCTCCCGGTTTCTCCCATTCGCCCTCCCCTACCTTTGGCTACAACGGACAAACTGCACCTCCTGGTTTGACATTATCATCGCCATTGTATGTACCTGGAAACTCTATCCCGTACATGATGGACTCGAGAGGAGCCCCAGTGTTGCCTCGGGTTATCGGGTCGACCCCTCATGCACATGCTCAACAACATTTCTTCATGAGCATGCCTGATGCATCCACTAGTCTAAATGGTTTCCCAAACTTTGAAGGAGGAAGCAGAGAGATTCTGAGTTTGACACAGTTCTTGTCTCGGGGACAAAGCGGGCCTACAGGGGAGCATGCGGGAGCAAGCTTCGAGTCCTCCTCGGGCTCTTCCATCGTCGGTGGGAAGAGGAAAGAACCCGAGACGGGATGGGAACCTTACACACTGAACTCCTCTAGACCTCAATATCCTCCATGGAGATGAAGAAGGTGAGTGATCCACAAACATGGAGATTGGTTCTTGAATAAAGATTCGTGGGATTGATTGCTGAAGGAAGATAAAGAAAAACATGTTCAGTTACTTTTAAATTGTTTCTAATCTTATTTTCGGGGATTTTTTTTTCTCTCTTGTCATTCAAGGTCTTTTACCTGACTATGATTTCATATGTAGAAGTAAAGGTTCAACCATAGAAGTATTAAACGCTTAAAGATTCTAGTACATGGTCTTCACACTGTCTTGTTTCTCGTTACGCACAGTTTTGTGTCAGATAATGTCTTTGCAAGCTGTCAGGTTTGGCTGTTGTGTTCAAAGATCATGATTGTATCAACCCTCCCTCAGTGCCCGTTCCAGTTACCTTGATTTGATAAGACTATGGAGCAATCTGATTTAGAAGAATTTTAAAAAAACTCTGTATTCAGTTGGATCTTACAAACATTTGTCAATTCTCTTTCCTTCTGCGAAAAACATATGAGCCAGTTTTTGTTCGACATTTTAAGGTTTAATACAACTCCCTCTAAAACCCCATTTGTGAATAGCACTTGTGCAACGCAATGCATCCTCTTTCTCGTACAGCGATAGCATTCTCTTCCCATATACTTTCAACTCGTTCTTCCTCTTCCTTTGGTCTAACCCGTATTCGTGCTTAAAACGTATAGTTCACATAAGTTCTATGATCCTATGCCTCAAGCACCTAGTTCTCGGCAACATCTGACCGTTTACATTCAATGAAGACGAGATGTTCAGTAGCAATTCAGCAAATGTCTGTCACAGAAACATCAGACTAGGAGACTACGAAGAACTCAAGGCAGTTTCATATACATATACATATGTATGTGTATGCCTGTATGTGCATATACTCATTAGTTTAGCTGGACAGAACAAATGGTGTGGGTCGGAACACAAAATTGACATGGAAAGGTTCCAACTTGACAACCTGGGTTCCCTTTCGGACAAAACCCAATGTTAAATCGGCCACCAAAAGCTATGAACCAAGCGAGTGGCTCTCGGCAGCCATCAATGTAGCAAATGACTTTTACCCATTACCATGGCATAACCTTAAAACCTAAGCCCAGCAGAGACAATTCGGTTGGTTTCATCAGTTACATTCTATGAAGAAATGAGGACGCAATTGCTATGTAAATCAACGTGTGAAACCATTCTTCCTCAAAGGGCATGTTCATTAGGCAGAACAGAACAGGGATAAAATGTATACAAGATGACTTTACACTTACACATAACTACGCAGTTGGGTAAGGCAAAAGAGAGAGAGAATTCTGAATCAAAACAGAGACAAAAGGCAGAGGCAGCTAAGTTGCACGTTAGAGAATGTGCAGAACTGCAGCAACGTGATGATCCATATGGAACACTTGAGAAAGAAAACTATGCAAGAAGAGCATTTTCAGCTTCATTTCCAAATGTTTCAGAACAACGCTTACACGCAGAATCGGAAGTTATTCAAGGGGTATATAATCAAATTCCCATACAAGCAGTTCATGAAAAAAGAACCGACGAGAGTAAATATTATTTACAATCACGAGCGGATGAAGATGAAATCCCATTTCCTTTATCTAAACCAAGAGAGTCAATTCAGCAAAGCGGAAATGGATATTCTTAAACAGTCTTAAACTAAGCAAAGATAAGCTTCAAAGACAAATTGCTCCCAAAATTATGGAGAGAAGAGAGAGAGAGAGAGAGAGAGCGCGTATGAACCTTCAAATTCAATGAGAGCCCGAAGAACCACCGCCAATGCTCACCGTGGTTCTCTCCTTCCTCTCCGCCTCATACTCAGCATCATCCGTGGGAAGCTCGAAGCGGCAAATGGGGCAAGAGTTCCTTGTCCCTAACCATGGTACAATGCAATCACCGTGGTAGCTATGCCCACAAGGTAGCTTCTTTGCAGTTTCACCAACTGCTACCACATCCTTGCACACAGCACACACCACGCTCTCAGCTTCCGAAGTAATCTCAAACGTTTCCAAAGCTTCCACCGCAGACATTGCCGCCGGCGGTGCGCCTCTCCGGCTACCGTCGCTCTCCGCCAGATTCTGCAGAAGCGCTTCATATCCGGCCGCGTCCACGTAGTCCCCAGGATTGCCTATGTAACGGTCGGAATCTGGAACCCCGATGCGGAACTCAACGGAGTTGTCTTCGATTCCCATCAGAATCTCGGCCCAATCGAGAATCCTGTTCCGACCGGTACGCTGGCGCGTTGCATAGTCGCGGATCCGGACCCGGAGCATCTCCCGCCGCCTTCTCCTCAGATCTTCTTCCTCATCGTCGTCATCGTATTCGTAGTCTCTGCTCACGTCGTTTTCGGTCCTGGTCACGGATCTGTTCTCTTCCACGCGCGGTTGATTCTCTCGCAATCTCTCTCCATCTTCTGCTTCCTCCTCTTCCCGATCCCCTTCGTTTTCATCGGCTTCCGCGTCTTCATCCACGTCGTCCTCTTCTTCGTATTCCTCCTCTTCCTCTTCCTCATCCTCATCTCCTTCTTCTTCTTCCTCATCCTGGTGGTTTCTGTTCCAGCCATTGAGTTCGAATCTAAGGAAATCCTCTTCGTACGACACATCCAGTTGCGGCGGCGCGTGGTAGTCACGCGTCGCCTGAACAAGCAGGCGGAGCATCTGGTGGAAATGTAAGTAAGTCGAGTCGTCAGCCTCCAGATCCGGAGAAAGCGGCGCCGAAGCAGAGTACGACGCAGCGCCGGACGCTGGAATCGACTGGATTGCCTCGACGAAACCGTTTTTACATTCGAAGCAGACGACGTCCGCTAGGGTTTCGACGGAGACGCGCTTGTTGCAGTGATAGCACCAGTGAGACACCTCATCGGCTGCGGTTAACACCGCCAGAGACGACCGCGGCGGCGGAGCGTCGGACATAGTTTTCCCGTCGGAGAATTGGATCCGACACGGCGGATAATCAGGCCAAATGGTAGAAGAAAGAGAAGGAAAAAAAAGGCAAATTTTAGAAATAAGGGTTGAGATTCCATGCCTGGAGAAATGATCTCCTACGATCAGGTGTACGATTAACCCTTTGGTACGATTACGATCTCTATTAAAACGGACGGCTGAGATATTTTCTAAGTAAATGAAAATGTAGGTCCTTTGCACGATGATGATATTTTTTTGGAATATGACTCGGATGGACTAAATCAACCCTCCTTTGAATATTTAGTTCACGAATATTTTAGTATTCAAATTATTTAAAAAAAACAATAAATTCTAATACACTAAAGAAAAAATATTATTTGTCTTTGAAAAAGAAGTATGTAAAATTGGTTACATATATATATAGTTTATTGATTTTTATATATATAAGATCTCACGAATTGAAATTGTCCTTGTAGATCAAAACAAAATCTTTTAAGGTATTTTGTTTTTGAAAAATATTTTTTAGAAAGTCGCTCATTTTAAAACTATTTCAAAACGAACATATTTAATTTTAAAAATTCTTTCGGAATAAATAACCGAAAAAAGTAGATATATTTTGTTGATATTAATAGATTAATCAATTTTTTAAATTATCATTATTTATTTCAGTGTATTTGATACATCAGTTTTTTATCCATAACGGTTTTACAATTAAGGTATATCCAACATTTACAACGGGTGAATTGACAAGATCACTGCAACAAATTTGGAGTAAGGTTAGACATACATTACTGACTAACAACATATAGAGTATTTTTCTTGAAGGGACATTCAATTTTAAAGATAAAAATGAAATTAAATTATATCTAGAGAAATATATTGGATTCTATTGTAATAATAACTTTTAAATTCGGAGTCTCCAAGGAAGGTTGACGAATAAGGTCCAATATAATATCATTTTTGAAACCATTATAAATATGTAGGATTACAATTGTCTATATAAAAAAATACACTAGGATACCCATGTATATATGTTTAAAAAGTATATTACTCGAATTTGAATTCAAATTTATGAATATGTGTGGATTCAAATGTAAATATTTAGAAATCAGATTAAAATTCGAATTAAGATGAATATTTAGAAATCGCATATCTCGAGATACCTATTCGGGTAATTTTGTATGGATCGACTTATTTGACTTGTAATATGGCCATGTATGTTAAAAGAGTGAATGTTTAATGTAAAATTTTAGAATTTAAATCCTATATATATATATATATATAACATTTAATGTAGATATAAACGTGGCATGAATTTGGTGGTAATGAAAGGGCAATAACATATCGCATGAATCTTGTAAACGTCTCATTCATAGTCCAATCTTCTCCTCAGAAAATCAAATTCCGTAAAAGTGAAAAGGGGCCAACTGTCCAATGTAATACCGGACTTTGAAGAATAAAAACCTAATCGACAAAACCAATTAATAACAATTTTGTATAATTAAGGAAACAGATATATCAATATATGATCATTTCCTTTCTTTAAAACAAATTTGCAATTTTTTCATATATCTGGATTGCAAAGCTTTCTTGCTACCAAAAGCTAAAATCAATATCTTTTTATATGAATAATGACTTAAATGGGAAATCATGAGGTCGAGGTTCGACTCCTTACCGCCTCCTTAGCTCTCACATGTCACCTGTCAGTTACGGTTTATTTATCTCTCATGTGTGTTGCAGGTTCGTATGCGTGGACTTGAGGTTTTTCTTAGTCTGCGATGATGTCCTGATACCGTCCTCGTCCGGTCTATTGGACTGTGAGTCATTACGGTGTCCGGTGTTCGATCCGAAGGGTTGTAGAACAGGTTTCACAATGTATAAAAAAATAGAAAAGTTGTTGTTCATAGAAAAAGAACAAAAATAAATAAATTCTTTGTGACGAAGAGTTTTTAATCTTTTAAAATATCGAATTTAGAAATTTACCGATCTATTAAAAAAACTAATTTTCGAAAGAATTAATCTTATCTGCATATAACACATTTTTTTTTGTATTTAACTTAGGATTATACAAATTGACCTGTTCACGAGTACAACAAGTCGATATACGTGTTAAAAACGTGGGCTTTTTTATAAAGAAAAACGTGGGCTTTTTCCTTGAATATAAAAAAAAAATGAATTGCCAAAAAGGAACCTTCACTATTACTTGTTTGAATCAAGTGCCAACCGAACTTGACTCTGTTTTTATTTATTGTTCGGTGTTCTTGACCTTTTTGTCCGAAACTTTTTGACTTATCCAAAACTTCACTTGTTAACCTTCGCAATAAAAATATAATGGATATATATATATATATATGTATAAATGTATGTACATATAATAATGATATATAGCATTAGTTTTCTATGATGAGTAAAAGGATTTTTATTTTTTGTTAACAATATTAGACTAAATTGTGTTACGGTTCATTTATACACTAAGCAAGACCCGCCTTAAAAGTGTCAATCGTCCGACGTCAATGTCTCGACTATCTGAAAAAAAATTAAAAAATTAATTTAATTCATATTAATCTTTCATTAGGTTTTAATGAAAGACAGAACACTTGCCTACGGTTAGGTAAAATCCATTGTCTGATTGACCATTCCAAATCTCACGCTTGAAAATCCACTGTTTGGGTTAAACATAATAATCCACGTCATCACATCCGCTGCTTATAAATAATGCCTCTCCCTCTCCGCCTAAAATGAGTAAAGAAGAACACGGAACCTCACTTCTCCTCTCTGAAATCTCAATCCTCAGTCACAATGTCTGCATCCACATTACCACTTATCTCCCTCGCCATTGTCTTCCATTTCCTCGTCGTAGGTAAAAACCCGACAGAAGAGATGCACGAGTTCTTTGTCTGTTTCTGTGTTTGGTCTCTGTTTCTCTTTTTACATTTCTGGGTTTGTTTTCGAAACTACAGGGGTTGATTCGGCGACGTTCACTATGATAAACAAATGTGATTACACAGTTTGGCCGGGAATTCTCTCCAACGCCGGAGTCCCTCCACTTCCGACCACCGGATTTTCTCTCCAGCCCGGCGAGTCACGCTCCCTCGACGCCCCGCCGTCTTGGGGTGGCCGATTCTGGGGCCGTACACACTGCTCTGAGGACTCCGCTGGGAAATTCGTATGCACCACCGGAGACTGCGGCTCCGGTAAGCTCGAATGCTCTGGAGCCGGCGCAGCACCTCCGGCGACCCTGGCCGAGTTCACTCTAGATGGCGCTGGGGGAATGGACTTCTTCGACGTCAGCCTCGTCGACGGCTACAATCTCCCGATGCTCGTCGTCCCACAAGGTGGCTCCGGCGACAACTGTACCTCCACCGGCTGCGTCGTCGATCTCAACGGAGCGTGCCCGTCGCAGCTCCGCGTCACGACGGCGATTGACGGCGGAGAGAGCGCCGTCGCTTGCCGGAGCGCGTGCGAGGCGTTCAAGGAGGAGCAGTTCTGCTGCAGCGGCGCGTACGGGACACCAGACACGTGTAAACCATCGGTGTACTCGCAAATATTCAAAAGCGCGTGCCCACGCGCTTACAGCTATGCCTACGACGACAAATCCAGCACCTTCACATGCTCTAATTCCCCCGGTTACTCCATCACTTTTTGCCCTTCCCCAAACACAAGGTAATTTTACCAAAACACCCCCAATCTTTTAAACCGTCCGCGTAAGTCAACGCACTGTTTTATGACCGTCCATTCATATATTGCCACGTGTCTGATGGTCAGTTCTAATTCTTTGGTTTGCAGTCAGAAATCATCTCAGGAGCGGCACAGTACCGAAACGACGACGTCTGGAACGAACTCGTCGCCGCAAGACACTACCATGGTTTACGAAGGTGCTTTCGATCGAAGCGGGTCGACGCCGACCACGTGCGCGCACGTGCTGATGTCGGTTAGCGCGTGGATTGCACTCGCAGCTTGGAGGTTAAGAGGATAGTAGATCCCCGGAAACCAAACGGGTTAACCGGTGATAAAGTAGGCCCCATCTGCTTTTATCACAAAGGAAACGTCAACTGACATCGGCCCAAAAGTTGCGAGGACAACACAACAGCCACCGCACGTGGGATCCACGTGGTTGACATTGGATGATGTGGCACGCGGACCGGCCGACGCGGCATGTGGAGGTGATTGTATTTCGATGGTGGGATGGGGCTTGGAACAAAATTTCATTAATTTCTAACATTTTTAAATTTTTTAGATATATTGGGTTAAAGGAAATTATAATACTAAGGCCATTGTTATTGTTGTTGTATACATTCTTTAGTGATATACAATAAGATCCGTTTTCGTCGGCGATATCTTGAAATTCCAAATGTTTTGTTCGTTCAATGATTTTTAGAATCTAATAATTGGTGATTAAATTAATTGTATTTTTTAAATATAACCAAAATATTTGATCAATAATTCCGCAAAGGGGGAACCTTGGGTCGACAGCATCAATCGATTAGGACGAATTATAAAGTAATTCAAGTCAATATAAACAACACTATAACTGTGTTAAAATTATGTATAACAATTAATCGGATGTAAACTTTATATGTTCAACCTTTAAAAGTTAAAAGAATGTGAATATCGAATACGATTAGAACGTAAATGGAATTTGAATCGATTAAAAGTCGGAATTGACACGTCACTGTTCGTAAACGTCATGTCAGCATTTAAGATTAAATATGATATAGTTCTACAATTTCGAGTTTATTTACAAGACAACACTAGAGTTCTCGTTTAATTTGATTAAAAATATAATGAAAATTCGCCAAGTTGATGATTTTTTTTAGGAAAAAAACCCTAAAAATTCATGAACTTGTATTTTAGAGTAATATTAATTCCTAAACTTGTAGAGGTGCCTATTAATTCCCAAACTTGCAAAATTGAAAGCCACGTCGAATCGGTCAACTCGTTTTTTTAACCAAATAATGCTATGTACGAATATGAAACCGTTTAACAAGTTCAGGATTTAACGTGTTCAATTTTGCAAGTTTGGGAATTAATAGGCACATCTACAAGTTTAGGAATTAATATTACTCCAAAATACAAGTTCAAATTTTTTTTAGGATTTTTGTGAATATAAAATATAAGTATCTTTTAATTTCTAAATTGTTTATGAATTGTTTTAGAAAATTTTATATTAAAAAGAATATTTCTAAATCAAATATATTTTTTAATAGTCATGAATATATAATCAAACTGTGAAAACTAAAAATAAGATAATAAAATAATATTGTGGAAGAAATACATATCGAGCACATCAATGTAATTTATTTATTTAAATAGATTATTCTAATGACCCTAAATTAAGTTAAATCAATTGAATTAACAAAACATTTAATCAATGATTCGTTCTTATCCAAAAACCTGTTTATTTATTTATTTACTTTGTTTTTATTCATACAAAGATTTTATTTAATTATTATTTACCTTGTTTTATTTTGGCAAATTAGTGGTTCTCATTTTCGGGTGATTCGTTCTTATCCAAAAACCTGTTTATTTATTTATTTACTTTGTTTTTATTCATACAAAGATTTTATTTAATTATTATTTACCTTGTTTTATTTTGGCAAATTAGTGGTTCTCATTTTCGGGTCAATGCTAAATTGTACTCAAATAATTTTTTTTTCTTTATACTCTTCCTAACGAGATTGAAAATCATATTAAATTTCATATAATTTCTACGATAAATGAATATTTATTCAAAAGAACAGTTCATAATTTTATTTTCATTCATAAACTGAGAGAAAAGAAATAAAAGTTGAAAAAATATTCATTTGAATGTTGAGACTTCTTTTTTGGCAATGTTATTAGTTTCTACTTGGAGAATATTTTTAAAAAATGCATATCTTAATTAAGCATATAAGTTTGGTGGGTCCACGTTATTTACCCCCTTTCATTTTTTCCAAAATTTTCTGACGGAAATTATATTCTTTTTAATATAATTTTTTCTAAAACAATTTATAAACAATTTAGAAATTAAAAGATACTTATATTTTATTCACAAAAACCCTAAAAAAATTTGAACTTATATTTTGGAGTAATATTAATTCCTAAATTTGTAGAGGTGCCTATTAATTCCCAAACTTGAAAAATTAAACACGTTAAATCCTGAATTTGTTAAACGGTTCCATATTTGTCCATAGTGTTATTTGGTCAAAAAAACGAGTTGACCGATCCGACGTGGCGTCTGACGTGGTGCGCCACGTCGGATTTTTTTTAGGGTTTTTGTGAATAAAATATAAGTATCTTTTAATTTCTAAATTGTTTATAAATTGTTTTAGAAAAAATTATATTAAAAAGAATATAATTTCCGTCAGAAAATTTTGGAAAAAATGAAAGGGGGTAAATAACGTGGATCCACCAAACTTATATGCTTAATTAAGATATGCATTTTTTAAAAATATTCTCCAAGTAGAAACTAATAACATTGCCAAAAAAAAAGTCTCAACATTCAAATGAATATTTTTTCAACTTTTATTTATTTTCTCTCAGTTTGTGAATGAAAATAAAATTATGAACTGTTCTTTTGAATAAATATTCATTTATCGTAGAAATTATATGAAATTTAATATGATTTTCAATCTCGTTAGGAAGAGTATAAAGAAAAAAAAATTATTTGAGTACAATTTAGCATTGACCCGAAAATGAGAACCACTAATTTGCCAAAATAAAACAAGGTAAATAATAATTAAATAAAAGCTTTATATGACGAATCATTGATTAAATGTTTTGTTAATTCAATTGATTTAACTTAATTTAGGGTCATTAGAATAATCTATTTAAATAAATAAATTACATTGATGTGCTCGATATGTATTTCTTCCACAACATTATTTTATTATCTTATTTTTAGTTTTCACAGTTTGATTATATATTCATGACTATTAAAAAATATATTTGATTTAGAAATATTCTTTTTAATATAAATTTTTCTAAAACAATTCATAAACAATTTAGAAATTAAAAGATACTTATATTTTATATTCACAAAAACCCTAAAAAAA